TATAATGGGCACGAAATTTTTTTCACTCCCGCTAATATTTTTTTGTTTATCATTGTCTGTAATAGCACATCCCACATTTTAAAACGTTATTGTATGTTGAAGCGGTAAAATTCCGGCCCAATTAAAAATTGGAAGTGATATTTTTAAAAATATTGCTAAAAAAAACTTTAACCAAATGTACAAAACAGAGATTCGGTCATTAGGTCTCTGGATTGATTATTTAGACTTTAACCATTGTGCCACATTTAATTTTGTAAACACTATTAACCAACACTTGTATATATTATTCTTCCTCCTCCGATTGTTCTCCAATCATGAAAACGGAAACGATTCTAGATCTGATTTCTACCTTATCGAAAGTACAGAATCGACCTCCATCGTCATTTCTTCGTCTTCTTTGCAGCGACGTTGATGAACAACTTCAGATCGTGATTCTTTCTTGTTCAAGCTATTCTATAACTGTATGTATATGTTGAAGATACGAATCCAAAATACACCGTTTATCTGCCTTTCGAATCTTCAATACGAAACTCCTCTCACCGTCTTCATCTTCTTCGTTAATCCAACAAACTCTCGCGACGAGAAAAAATTCTCCGATTACTTGATTCCGATCTAAACGGAGAACAATCTCGGTTGATCTTTCCCGGTGAAATCAGAATTTAGAGTGGGCTTAAGGAATTCAAAATCTAGGTTCTGGATCTTGGTAAGGAGAGGATGATAAGGGAATAGATGGTCCTACCGCTATAGGACGATTGGTTAGTGACATCATTCTGTGGAAGACCATTCGAGCTATTGTGTTAGAGTTGGAGCTTGTAGTAGTCATTTGGGGAAGGTGAGGCAGGTTGAGTGGTCGTTCCAAGGCTGGTCTACGATTTTTAGGGGATTCAGAGGATTTTTTCTTTATCCCTAGACGCTGAGTTTCTTGTTGGAGCATCAGCAATTCTCAACGAAGGGGAGGAGATGTGACGTTGGACATCATCTCTAGTACCAGAGATTGCAGCTCCTACAGGAGTTACATCCCTATCATAGGGTAAACGATTACATGAAGGATGAGACTGACTAGCACAAGAGCGTTGTCCTCTAGGCTGGTAGTCTTTGAAGTGTGCAGGTCTGTTATTTGTTGCAGGGGACATGCTGATTCTGGAGTAGTTTCTATGTGTGACCCTTTGAGGTGAAGTCCTCTGTCTTCACTCAGTCATGGAGGAGAGTATTGTCTGGAGCGTAGTGATGAGAGGAACGAGATCTTTCATGATCCAATGCAAAGGCTTTTGACGATACTCCTCTAGTGAGTTTAGAAGCTTCTCTTCTTGTATCAGATTTCTGCTTATCTGCTTCAAGTTTAAGGAGCGTCTTTTGTTGGTTGATTCCCAGGACACGGGAATGGTTTACTTCTTTCCCTCGTAGCAGGTAAAGCAGTGTTTTTCCAATTTTTCATACTCCAGTTATGAATTCTCCTTTAGGCATACAGACTGGCATCATCATCTCCAGCGGTTCAAGTACATTAATCTGAACCCATTTTCTGCCATTATCCGTATCAATTCCTGCGTCTCCCCTAGATATGTGGCCGAGTTCACTGCCAATGGTGCGGATAGTTTGAGATGTCCACTCTTCACCCACAAGGAGATGAGAGCAGGGAAATAGTCAGAGACAACGGGTTCCCATCTTTGGAGGATGGGCATCCATCTCTTGTAGTGGTAGGGCCCTTCCTTAGGACTGACTTGTAGAGCTTCCTCTGATTCAAACGTGAAGAGAAAGCGGTCACGGCCCAGAATACTTTTTCGTAAGATTTTGGTAGATAGAAAATGTTGCATACAAATAGTCAAATAATATTTTCTTCTTTGTGTATTCTATATAGATATTTGATTTGGTATCGTTATTTCAACGACCGGTTCGTTTTGTTTTGCTTCATCTCTAAACCAAGATTTGATATTGGTATTTGCTTTTCATCTGATTCTGATTACTAACAGAGGAACTATATATGCAATCTCAACAAGTTTTGTAAGAGTTTTTGTATAAAGGCAGATAGAAGAATGGCCTAATCTTTTTACAGCTTAAGAAATCAACTAAAGTGTCTAATCCTGTAAGGGTATACACACACTGTGCACAAGTGTTAAGAAGGACTAGTTACTCTTGAGGCGTCAGATACAGCTTCTCTGTCTTCTGAGATCCTTTGCTTCATATTGGCTCTCAAATCAACAAGCTGCTCAATTAGTAAATGTAATAAAGAAGATCCTTCACCTGCAAGTTCATGAAAAGTCTAAGTAAGCCTTGAGGCTACAGAAAATGTCTAAACATCATATAATTCATCATCAAACACACACACAGAAATATACCTGCAAGGAACCATCCCACAGAAGCATTAAACCGTAACAGTACGACAAAGGTCAATCGTAGGCAAACTCAGCGATGTAAGCACACACTTGACTGATTCGACATTCCCCCAAATCTCACCTCCTTGACGTCTTTCCAAACCGATCTCTACGCACAAGATATCTCTCGCCCCATCAGTATACCTCTCACTAACACCCAAAATCACCAACTTTCCACCGAAATTCGCCATTTTATAATCATGATAAAAGAGCTTAGGCAAACAATGTACACCTTTCACACCTACCCAATCCTTCTCCTCTGGGTCATATACGATTACTGAACTTCCCTGCAAACCCAGAGGAGCAAGAGTATACAACCTATCATCTACCACACAAGACGACGTTAGCCAGAAAAGTCTCAACCTGTCGTTGTCGTACGATTCCCAATTACCCGTTCTTGGTTCGTAAGAGAAACAAGAATCACGATCCAAAAGGTAAATCTTTTCTTTCATAACCACATACGACTCAATCTCTCCTTTCTGAGTACCGTAAGGGTACGGACCAAGCACAGGACTCCAAGCCTCAGTCTTTAAATCATACACTTCGACCCAATCCGGATATGACTTCTCGCAACCTCCGATTACGTAAATCTTTCCATTGATTATTCCTGCGGCTGCTCTGCAGCGAGCCCTGTTCATACTCCGGAGCTCATGCAACGTGTGATTTCTACAATCGATTAGAAACACACTCAAAATTTGCTCTCTTTTGCGGTCGCATCCACCGATTACATACATCTCGTGTCCGACTGAGACCACCGCAGATCCAAAAGGCATAGAAGGAGGAAGTGAATCGATTTTGCACAATCGTAGAGAAATCACTTGGTTCCGGTAAGGTATACGGTGGAGAATGTACCATCTTGGGATCTCAACAAGATGGAATCCGATGAACGCGTAAAGAACAGATTCGGTAATGTTACGGAACGAGCGCAACACGTAGGGTATGGAAGAAGCCATGAGAGTACGGAAGTATCTGGAGACGGAAGTTACCGTCGGGTAATGACATCTCGGAACCATTGCGACGCAAATGTCAATGACGTCGTTTGGAATTGTGAGAAGAAGGGAACGATTTTCTTTCGGTTCTTCTTGAGGTTTCTTTGGTGGATCGCCGTCGTCCGAAATTTCAGTGATCACAACCATCGCCGTGAGAAATCCAGTCAGCAGAGAAACAACGGAAAGGGAGCTCATTTTCAAGATTTTGCAAAGGAAAGAAAAAACAAGAAGAAGGAAGCTCTCTTGTGTGTTTAACTATTTATAAGGGAATCTTCTTTTTCTTATTTGTATTAAACAAATGATAATGAACTAAACAGAGTGGAGAGAGTTGACTATGGGTCAAAGAAACGAAGGAAGCTAAGGCTGACGTGGATCAGCAAGATGACGTGGCAAAGAAGAAGAGATACTCTATGTCCAACAGAAGTATTCATCATCGGTCGTACGTTCATATGAAAATTACATTGTTGAATTGTTGTGATAGGTAAAAAAATTGAAACTGAAATTAACAACTGAAGCAAGAAAACAATTTATTAAATAAATTGAATTGTTGTGCTTTGAATGAAGTAGCAATTAATAGTATTTGACAAGTTTGTTCGTGTGATGTGACGTAGCAAAGTCTTAAGTAGTAGTAGAATGTAATCGGACTCTCAGTATAAACGAAGTCATATTTACTATTGATAAAAGATCAAGAAAAGATTCGGGTATTTGTAATCACTATTAACAAGATCCTAATACCGGTTTGTTTTGTTACCTGACCATCTTCACATCTCTGAACCAAGATTCCATATTGATCATGTACTAAAAGCCAGTAGAAGCACAAATGGGTCTTAATGTTAAAATTAGAACGAAAAATACGTAGCTACTCTTTGGGTATTCTATATAGATTAAAAGTAAATCGGTTTGTTTCGGTAGATACAAATGTTAAATACAAATAATAATTTCTTTTTTTTTTTGTGTGTATTCTTATATAGATTAGCTTCAGG